TTGGGCGCTGAAGTCGCCATAGCCAATTGAGAGTGAACTCGTATCTGAAAGCCATATCTCTGAGTTTTGAGTGGCCGCATGTCGCCAGTATGCTGTGTTGCTGTTTACATGCATGAAAAGTGTGTTTGAGAACGACTGATTGCACCGGCGTGGCGAATAACCCCTCTGCAGCGCCAGCCAAAAGGGAAAAAAAAACGTGGCGAGTCACCCTCTGCAGCATGTTACATTTTCAATCTCGACGTTGCAGAGGGCTATTTTCCCACAGAGGGTTATTTCGTTCCGGCGTGGCGAATAACCCCTCTGCAGCGCCAGCCAAAAGGGCAAAAAAAACGTGGCGAGTCACCGTCTGCGGCATGTTACATTTTCAGTCTCGACATTGCAGAAGCTTATTCGCCACGTCGGAACAAAATAGCTGGGAGAGGAAATGGTGGTGGTTTAAACTTTAAAGCACCAGTACACGGCCATACATCGCCCGCGAGGCCCTCACCACAAGTTTCGGAGCCCCAAAACGAGACGCTGGCCATTGATGAATTTATCGACAGCGCACGGGCCCCGAACTTTTCGAAGTAGCTGACGAGTTTCTTTTCCACAAGGCTGGGGCTGTGTACCAGCGGCTTAAGGAGAAAAGCCCCGAACATAACTGTTTTTTTCTTAATTGTTGTTCTGATCCACGGTCTGATTTCCTATCAGGATTCATCAAACTCATGAGCTATTTTTGTCATATTAATCAATAATAATTTGATATTGATTAACGCGGTCTTGTGTGGTGTGCACCAACATGGGCTAGGTGATGAGGAGGAGGCAGAGGATGGATGTTGAACGAACTCGCACACATGGAACAAAAGAAAGAAAAAGGCTAGCTAGCCATGTTTGCTTCCTCTTTGTAGAGACCGGAAAGGAAAAAAGAGGAGAGGACAGCCCTTAAAATGATTTTGTTATGTTTTTACCATACTTGCAAGCGTACGTTGTGCACGCGGTTCCCGGTGTGCACGCCCGATCAGTCCCGTGCGGCACATGACTGTGTGCGGAACGACCCATACGCCCCCCCCCCCTGAAAAAAAAACAAAAAAGGCCGGAGGTCGAAACGGCACATTCGAGCCCCCCCCGACAAAATTCTTCGTAGGACCAAAGAAAACATTTTGTGGTCCACGCTGAAGTGCCGACCGAGTGGGGGTTCGAATCTCGAAACCTCTTCCCGCTCTTGCTTGGGCTGGCCTGGGGCTCTGAGGTGCCTACTCCGTCTCGTGTCCTCCTGCTCATCCTCTTCCACCTCCACTTCCCCTGCCTGCTTCTCCTCCTCCTCCTCCTCCCCTTCCTGGCCGTCCTCGTCGTCCACATCCTCCTCCTCTCCCACCCAAGTATCGAATCTATCGACTTTTTTTTTTTTTTTTTGGGACCTTTTCTCGATTTGTGCCTGTCATCCTCGAGCAGGGGTCATGCTAATCTTCTGCGTGTCGTTCCCATAGGCTAATCTTCTCTGTGTCGTTCCCATTATCCTTCATCTCTCCTCCATGCCTCCACCTTTCTCCTCCATCTGTCCTTCATCTTTCCTCTCCCTATCTCCATCTCTCCTCCAGCTTCATCTCTCCTCCATGCCTCCACCTTCATCTCTCCCCCATTCCTCCACCTCCATCTCTCCTCCGCCTGTCCTCCACCTTTCCTCCATCTTTCTTCCTTCTCCCCTCCATGTATCGTCCATCTCTCGTCCTCTCCCCTCGATCTCTCCTCCATATGCCCTCCTTCTCCCCACCATTGGTGGAATAGTGCTCGTGAATTCGCCAAACCCAATTCGGCCTGCCATATCCCCACAATGTCCCCATCTCCGCACGACTCCGCACGGTGCAGGACTCAGAGCGCACGGCCCTGCTCAATTCCACACCCGCCCCGGCTTCCTCTGCACATCGTACTCCGCTCCGCACTGCACCGCACAAATGTGCGGCTCATGCGGTTGCAAGTATGTTTTTTACCAATTTTTGGAATCCAAGGTTTATTTCAGTCAACAAGGGGTTCAAACTGAACTTGGAAGTTCTGGAATTCCTCGAATCGTAATGACTTTGGCGTGCACTTCTGTGGTGAGCTGCGCAGTGGGCCAAAAATGGGTGCAGCAGCACACCAAAAATATTGAATAAATAAAATTTAAGAAGCTGGACGTGTTTTGTGCAGAGATGCAGAAAAGGAGATCAAAAGCCATTTTTCCTCCAATTTTTTTAAATGTTAAGGGGAATTTTCAGGTGCGCACACATCAGTATACACTACAGGCTGTGCCTTCCACATGCAGACTCCCCCCCCCCCCCCCCCCCCCCCCCCCCCCCCCCCCCCCCCCCCCCCCCCCCCCCCCCCCCCCCCCCCCCCCCCCCCCCCACACACACACACACACGTGGTGCGCCCACCACCAGTCAGCATGGTTTGTACTTCCAACCAAGCATGCCTGTGGTTTGAAACCTGCCAGCCTGCGGGATTGATACTTCATAATAGGGTGGTCAGGAGGTTCAGTCTCTCAAGACACAAGGATGGTTCTCTCAGACTCGCATGCAGATCGTAGAGGACCATTGAGTCGTCTCCCTTTTGTTTAAGATACATTATTAACTTTTTTGTTGACCTAAATAATGAAATGTGTGTAATGGAGGAATTTATTTTGTGTAAATCTTGACGAGCAGTCTTTTTTCCGGACTCTTATTTGGTGTGGATTCGTCCACTACATTTCACTGCACTATGATGAAATGCATATCTTTGTGTGAATATTTGGACTGGATCATTATGCAACTCCTTGTGAAAGCAATCGTTGTTAATTGTCGTGAATTGCTGTGGGTGGATATCACGACTGGTATGGTTCCACTTCCGTACACCGTGTCATGGCGATTCTGGTTAAGATAAGAGAATCGGAGGCCAGGAAGTACTGATCAACCACCGCTTGAACTTCCAACCGCGCACGCATGAAAGTTCGAACACCGTCATCTCTGCATGAGGAGGAGGGAGATGATCATCTCCTTTCTGATGGAGTACGCACCAGGCACAAGGGATCAAGTGTCCAGCCGAGACAAAATGCCCTTTTGCCAGCTCAGCAGGGACTAAATCTTCTCTTTTGCCAGCTCAGCAGACACAAAGTTGTCCCTTTCGCCAGCTCAGCAGGGACAGAATCGGGAATCTTCCCTTTTGCCAGCTCAGCAGGGACAGAATCGGGAATCTTTCTCTTTTTCCAGCTCAGCAGGGACGAAATTGCCCCTTTTCCCATCTCCACAGCGACAAAACCGGGAACCTTCCCTTTTGCCAGCTCAGCAGGGACAAAGCCAAAGAGCAGGGATGTGGAAGAGGGTAGCGAGTTAGGAAGAGGAACAAGAGGGGGAGAGGAGAGGACGACAAACAGCAGCAGGAGGAGAAGAAAACGAGGAAAATCGAAGACACAAGGAAGACGAAGAAGAAGAAGAACATCAACAACAACAACAACCACATGAAGAGGAACAAGAAGATATAAAGAAGAAGAAAAAGAAAAGAAGACACGAGGAAGAAGCAGAAGAGAGATCCAGCACAGCAATTCTCGCGTGGGTTGCAGATGACTGACCTCTCCAGTTACGCAATAACTGAGCTGCAGAATCACATGGCACTCCCGGCTTCGCTATTCGTGAAATCTACCAACAAACAAACAAACAAACAAACAAACAAACAAACAGGCACAAAGACACTTCAGCACCGTGAGTTTTTTATGGTCGCTCAGCACTATTTTTTCCGCTGTCGTTTGCTGTTTGTTATTTGTTATTTGTTGGCGTTTGTCGTTTGTTGTCCATTGTACTTTGTTGTTGGTGGTGGTGTCGTTATTGGTTTAATTCCTTTTGTTTTTCATTTGGACCATTTCTCAAATTACGCATGATGGTCATCCCTGCGCAGGGGCCATGCTAATTAATTACCCTTCTGTGTCTGTGTATCGTTCCAATTGTACCAGATGTTTCCCCCCGAAGCACTGCGCTGCGCTGCACTGTAATTCCAGCGAAGCGGCACGAATCACAATATCATCATCATCATCATCATCATCATCATCATCATCATCATCATCACCAACCTCCAAACCAAATCGCTAAAAGCCAATCTCTCCCTAAGGTCAAGGTCATAATTGCAGAGGGGCGACCAAAAAAAAAAAACAGGACCACATGGATTAATTAAAGTGCGGTGCAAATATTTCATCAAACGTAATGGGTATGTATCATCATACTAGTATGTAATATGTCGATACTTTCTGAACACATATTTCTGTGGGTTTTTTTTTTTCGGAAAATGAACACATATGTCAAATTTGTATGCTGGACATCATCGAGTTCCCGAAAACGCCTTAGCAGGGTGGCAGGCTGCTGCACAAGGACTTGGGGGCAATTCGAAAAACAAACTTATATCACTAATAGCAGAAAATGCATTACATGGCCAACTGACAGAGAGAAAAAGCGTAGGGAGAGGGGAGGAGGAAGGAGAAACGGGCAAACACGACTGTCAGAGAGAAAAAAAGAAAAAGGACAGAGAGAGACAGAGACAGAGGGAGAGAGAGGAAATTCTATCACTTAGCACAAAATGCATTACATGGCCACTGACAGAGAGAAAAAGAGGATGGAGGGGGGAGGAGGAAGGAGATAGGGGCAAACAAGACAGAGAGAGAGAGAAAGAAAAGGAGAGAGAGGGACAGAGACAGGAAATCCTATCGCTTAGCCCATAATGCAATGCCGTTCACAGAGAGAGAAAGAGAATGAAGGAGGACGGAGGAAGGAGACAAGGGCAAGAGACAGTCCGACAGAGACGCAGACGAGAGAGAGAGAGGGAGAGAGAGAGAGAGAGAGAGAGAGAGAGAGAAGACACAGAGAGAGAGAGAAAAAACCATCAGAGGAACCAGTCCAGAACGCGAAAAACGAAAAAACAAAAAAAAGAATAGAGCTCGCCATTTGTGAACGGAAACCAAGAGTTCAAACAAAAACAAAAACAAAAACAAAAACAAAACAAAAACAACAAAAACAACAAAAACGAAAACAAAAACAAACCAAAAACAACAAAAACAAAAACAACAAAATCAAAAACCAAAAACAAAAACAAAAACAAAAAACAAAAAACAAAAAACAAAAACAAAAAACAAAAACAAACCAACAACAACAACAACAACAACAAGAGAGAGAGAGACAGAGAGAGGAATACAGCTCACAGGTCATCCCAGAGTGTAGTATGCCTATCTTACCTTGAACAAAGAGCCACGGCAAACCCGGGAAGCCATCATTCCTCTAACCAAACCAACAGTTCCAACCAGCTCACAGGTTGGGACTCCTTCTCTTATTTGATGAGGACGACCTGCAGTAATTTGAAAGGCCAATTACCAAAATCAACAACAGCCGCAAATAAAGGTAGCAAAGAAAAAACAGTGGCGCTGGCAGCAGTAGCGAAGGCAGCAAAGGAAAGGGAACATAGGAGGAGGAGGAGGAGGAGGAGGAGGACGTTGAGGGAAGGCGGGGGGGGAGAGGGCCGGGGGGAAGGGGGGAAGGGAAGCAGGTGCAGAGGGGAGAGAAGAGGAGGAGGAGGAGGAGGAGAAGAAGGAGGAGAGCGCATTAGCAGCAGGACGAGGAGGAGGGGGAGAGGGGGAGTAGTAGCAGGCGCAGGGCAGGGGGAGAGGAGGCGAGCAGCAGGAGGAGCGGGGGGGGGAGGGRGGGGGGGGAACAGCACCAGGCGCAGGGGAGGCGAAAGGAGGAGAGAGAAGCAGCAACAGCAGGAGGATGATCGAAAAAGAACAAGAAAGAAAGAAAGAAAAAAAAAAAAGAAACAACTCTACGGACGTGAAAGCTGTTAGATGCAGAATCTGAAGTACGTGTGTGAATTTGCCCTGAGTGAGGGAGTTCCCGCGGCGTGGTCAGATCCAAAAAAGAACCAAGGAAAAAAAAGAAACCGAAACAAAGCTCTGGACGGGATTGCGGGTACATACATTCTCAGAGGTGGTAGTGTGGGGAAAGTGAAACAAAGCTCTGGACGGGATTGCGGGTACATACATTCTCAGAGGTGGTAGTGTGAGCATGCCTTACCTGAGGGCGTTCCATTAGTCCGTGGATTGCGCGCGCCCTGCCTCGCGGGCAGGGCACTATAAACGACACAAAAGGAGAAAAAAAAATAACAAAAACAACAACAAATGAACGTAGCCATAATATTGGTCAGATGCGTTCTGGGGAGTACTGATGCGAAAAAAAATGTTCTCGCTCCCCCGGCCTTCCCGGCCATCACGTAGGCGCTACAGTTTCTTCCTTTCTTCTTTTTTTCTTTTTTTCTTTTTTGGACAAGCGGGCCCACAGGGCCCAACACATTTCCTTTCTGCCGAGCCTCGTCGGGACCTCCGATAAATTTGGAGTAGGTTAGATTGAAGATTCCTTTCCTTTTTTTTTTTTTTTTTAATTTAAAGATTCCCATTTTCCCCAACAGTCGGGGTATACTCACACTACTGGTAGGCCCTCAAAATCTCAAAATCGCAAAATGAGTGGGGCCAGATAGAGCCATCGGCTTACCAGAAGAACTGGATCTGGCCGTTCATTTTGCAATTCTGCGATTTTGAGGGCCCCCCGAATACAACGTACGGTCATTATAGCTGTATTTGAGGCAACTTTCCGTCTAGATACAGATACAATGACCGTACGTTGTCTTCGGGGGAAGAAGGTAGTGTGAGTATGCCCCCTCAGAAAAGAAGTGGTAAACTCGGAACGATACCGAGGAGATTGTCGTCGGCTTTCAAAAAAAAAAAAAAAAAAAAAAGAGGATGACGGACACTAAACGCCGATTGAGTGATTGATAAGTTTTGATGATAGGTTCAATCAATCACAATGACAACCGTCTTCCCCCCAACACCACGAGCCCTGATAATGACTGCATACAAGCTACTTTTTGGGTCCCATACAGTCATGATAAGGGTGCACTGTGTCCGGGCAAAGACGATGAACTGACATTCGAAGCCTGTTGATTGGCAGTTCCAGGGACGGGGAGGAGAGGGGGAGGACAACAAAAAATACACATAGACGACAACCACAAAAAAAAAAAAAAAAAAAACTAACAAGCGGATTTCGTCCGTCGGTTCGATTCTAATGACCGCCCGCCCGGCAACTGAACCACGTCCTCTCTCTCTCTCTCTCTCTCTCTCTCTCTCTCTCTCTCTCTCTCTCTCTCTCTCTCTCTCTCTCTCTCTCTCTCTCTCACACACAATCCCACTTCTTATTTCAAGATTGCTAAACTAAACTTGCCCAACTAACCGAGATACCATCTAACAATACTGATGCATTATAAATCTCTAAAATAATCACCAAAAATACTGCAAAAAGAGCCATAAAAATCCCCATTAAAACAGTAGTCCCCCAACCAGGAGCAACTTTGCCATATTCGGAATTTAAAGGTTTTAAAATGTCACCCACATCTGTGCGTCTACCTTTCGATTTACGGGTGAGTAACGCGTAAGGACTTGCCCTTGGGTGGCGGATAACAGCTGGAAACGGCTGCTAATACCCC